TAATTTTTAAAATTCAAATTTCCATTGCAAATGTTTTATTGAAAGTTTAATACATTAAATACAATTAAACAATAAAATACTGTTACGACCCTGATCCAGGGTCAGGGAGGTAACATAAATAAAATGCTCTGAAAGAGTTCGGTTTTAATAGTTTCTTTCTTTTTTTATTTTTATCCAGTTTCACAAAGGCAAAAATGAGGCAACTCTTCAGGGTTGGGCAAGGCCAAAACAATAAACAAAACAGCCACTACCTAAACCCAAATAACAGCTAAATAAACCCTGCAAAGAAAATTTAATAAAATACAGTGATCGTTACCTAACTCCCTGGCTATCCCAAACACAGGAGAGAAAAAAGTAAGTACAAAAAGAAAAAGGCACCCAACCCCTACTGCTTCGACAGAAGGGGTATGTGTGTAGTATTTACAGAAAGAAAGGGCAACACAACGTCTCCGTTCCCATACGTAACCGAGACGTTCCCTTTCAGTCGATCACTCAGAGTCACGTCGGTGACCGATGAATTGGGATCCCTACCAAAGCGCCATGGTGCTGCCCCTTCCGGTGCCCTGTGCGAGCCGCCTGTGCCCCTATCTGGTGTAGGCCGGGGCTCGGGCCAAGTAGTTCCACTCACCCTTTTCCAAAGCACTACCTTACTTAGTGAGATTGAATAACACTGGGAAAATGTACCCGCTCCACTTGGAACAGGGATGCTGCAGAAGCCCCATCCTTCTAGAAGGAGTTTTCGGAAGCAAATACACATATAGCATCCGCTTAGGTGTATATGGAGAACTGGAGGTGATTGTAACCCTCTTGGAAAGGCAGAAGTCTGCCGAGGAAACTCGGGCTCTATGGCTATACCGTGGACTATACACATACGAGAACTGGTTAGGTCTCAATATGGAACCCAGCCTTCCACGGTTCCCGCGGATTCATCGTGAAGGCCCGGCGCCGGAAGTTCCGCCGCGTCCGCTGTCGAGGGTGACGGAGGATCTCAACAGGGTCTACTGTAGGACACTCTGGAGCAGTTTTAGCAAACCGACACTAACCGGGGCCTCTCGGCACCACTACCCGTTTGAGGTGAGAACACAGGGGGATACCGGCTCCACACGGAGGCTATAGAATCTAGCGAACGTGTTGGGGCTTGCCCAGCCCTACAAATATCTGTCAGCAAAGAGCTGGTGTGATGTGTGGGCTTTTTTTAATAGTACAGTAGTTTTGAAAATAAAGATTCTCATTGTTTACCTACGTTGATGCCATCCAAGGTTACTTTCTTCATCAGAACATACATTTTAATCCGAATGAAATTCAAGCTCTGTAGGACACAATGAATGTCCATCTCTGTCAACTTGAAATTAGTGCTTCTGACCAGGGCTCTGATACTGTTTAAAATGTCTGAACTTTCACATGACTTTCATTCCATATGACAATCAAAGCATTGCTTTCTTCTTCTCATATGAACACGCTAACATGCATTGCACAAGTAAGAGATAAATTGAGTACTGACAGGAAGATAATTTTTATTTCAGGCTGTATTTATGGATTTATTTCATAGACAAACCTATCGTTTTGCTACATAAGACATTAATTGATCAGGAGGTGCATGCATGACATTTGGACTCTCCATTTATTGCGGCCATTTATTTGCATGGTATGCATATACTGATCTCAAATTCCTTTCAAAAAATGGTTGTGTTTTACTGAAGAAAGGGAATAGCATCAGAGTGAAAGAATAATGAGATTGTTTTAATTTTTGAACCAATTATTTAAAGGCTTTGTGTTGGTTAATACAAGCACGATTTTCCTTTTTCAGTTTGGGTCAGTTTTCTATTTTGTCAGCGCCTTTTTTTCTTCTTCTGTGTTTTAATAAAATGCAAATGATGTACCATAATCTATTTCTCCTTTATTTTTTTTTTCTCCATCTAGTGAAAACATTGTTTGACATGCTTGTATACTGTACATTATTTACTATGTAAACTAGAGATGTTAATGATATATTGTATATGTAATATATTATGTTTTATATAAAAATTAAATGCAGTATAATAATAATATAAATAATGGAAAGTCATATAGAAATAGTAGACTTATGGTGAATAGTGTGAAATTATATCACAGCAGTAAAATTGGAAAAAGAAACAAAGTGCATTAAGGGGTGTAAACTTTTGAACATCTTAGTTTGTTTAAAGATCATATTTTTAAATTTAGTACTGACCTTTAGTCCAGAAGCTACATAATATATATATATGTTTCCCAGAAAACAAAATAAGTATTTTCCCCAAATCATCCAAAGGCTGTTATTTATTTATTTATTTATTTATTTTCTTAAGCATTGCTGAATGTTGTCACCTTGTGTAATATTTGTATGCGAGTGCTTCAGTTGTCTTCAGAATGAAGATGGATCTCAAAATCAAACAGTCACTGGAAAGGGTTCAAATATGCAGGGGATGCATATACTGTGTTTAAATGCTCAGGACAAACAAGAGCCTCATGAACAATTATTACAAACATAACAACAGATTTTGATCATTTAGATAGTGGCACAGTATTAAGCATCAACTTTTGAACTAGGTTCATCTGTGTATTATTATGGTACTTTCTTTAAGGGGAAGTGTTTGACATCTCAAATGCAATGGTGTTGCCATTAATGCAGAGGAACAGAGCAGTTTTATTTCAACTGATTAAAAACTGTCATTCATTTCTTCTTCAGGTGCATCTGGTTTTGATACAGACAGAGTGTTTGTGATGGAGGGAGAATCAGTCACTCTACACACTGGTGTTAAAACAAACCAACAAAACAGAATTAGATGGTATTTCAATGACACTCGCATCGCTCAAATCACTGGAGATCTCAGCAAGACCTGTACAGATGTTCAGTGTAATGAAGGTACTGAGAGATTCAGAGACAGACTGAATCTGGACGATCAGACTGGATCTCTGACTATCCTGAACATCAGAACCACAGACTCTGGAGTCTATAAAATACTGATAAGCAGCAGCAACATCGACAGTGAAAAGAGCTTCAGTGTTATTGTACATGGTGAGTCATAACTGAAAGCTACTGTCATACATGTAAATCACATCATTCATGTGTTATTAGTTATACTTTTGCTGTGAAATTTAGTGGTGATTTTTCTTCTTACCTGTATAATAATTTACATAGAGTATATAGATGATTTAATCAAAAACAAATTTACTGTTAAAGTGGAATTTGTAGGCTTGAATATAAATTCAGTTCAGTATGATTTACATTCCCCCCCCCATTGGTTATTCGTTTTATCAGTTACTTTCTACTAATCATCTATTTAAATACATCTCTTTTTTTTCTCCCACTAGGAATCGGAAGTGCAAAGTATTTGGTTTAAAATTAGTTTAATAGCACAACATGTGAATAAATGTTGCTTTTCAGACAAAAAGTCAAGAGGTCTTTTTTTATTACTTTCATATCCACAGTTCTGTAATCTTATGTGATGTTTTCCCCCAAAAGATCCTCCTGCAGCTGTTGGTTTGTGTTTCAGATGTTCCTGCTGCTGAACGAGATAAAATGAAGAGAAAGTCAGCGAAGGAGGGAGAATCTATTACTTTACATTCGGATGGAATAAAAAACCCAAATGATTTAAAGATGTGGTATTTTAATGACACACTCATCACTGAAATCACTGGAGATCAGAGTAAGATCTGTACAGATGATCAGTGTAAAGAGAGATTCAGAGACAGACTGAAGCTGGATCATCAGACTGGAGCTCTGACCATCACAAACACCAGAACCACAGACTCTGGACTTTATAAACTACAGATCAACAGCAGCAGATTCAACATCATAAAGACATTCAGTGTTACTGTCACTGGTGAGTATCATTTTAGTCATTCAGTGCTTTTTCACTTGAACCATTTTAGAAAACATTCTAAATTTTGATATATTTTGATACATTTAAATCGACCCAGAACATGTTTTCGTTGTGGCCTGTTTGAAGAAGTGAACTTCGATTCAATAACTGAGATCAAAACTGTTTCAATATATAACTCTGAACACTGCTGTTTCTTGTTTGTCTTGCTGTTTTAGCTGCTGTTTTTACAAACCCACCAGATGACACCTTTATCAAATAAATCAATGTTATACAACTTTCTACTAAACATCAAGATTTTGGTATCGTTGTTTATCAGCCCAATTCTAGTAAAAATGACTGTCTGTCTTCAGCTGTTCCAGATTCAGCTGTTGCTGCTGTTGTTGTTGTTGCTGTTCTGCTGGTTGCAGCTGCTGGTGTGATTTACTGTTGCTGCAGGCGATCTACACAAGAAAAAAATAAAGGCAAGTATTGCATACAGATGATCTGACAAAAAAAAAAAAACATTAAAAATACATAAAATTATGCATTTGTATTCTGATTTACCAAAGTAAATTTGTGTTATTGTTCACGCAGAAAAAAGAACACAGCACAATGATCAGGATCAGGTGAGATGCTATGTGCACAAAATCTGTAAACACCTACACTATGAATTTACAACATATTGACTTCTTTGAGAACTGTTAAGGCTCCAATGTGCTTCAAGCAAAATTGAATAATTAACTGGTATGATGTCATTTTGAACAAAATTAGGCCAAAACAAAGTTCGTTTGTTGGAGTTTGGGAATTTGAAAGGACTTGCTTTGAATTGGTCTGTGGCAGTTATGCAATAGTTAGGTGTGGCTTCTGGGCTCCACCTTCTTTGATGTAGAAATCTTCTCCAGTTGATTTATTCTGTTCAGTCCGTCGAGATCAGATGTCCGTGAGTAAAAACATGAATACTCTGGAAAGCTGCTTTATAAAAACAGAAGAAATTATTCTAATTTGTAAGGCTGGAAGTAGGGCTGGGCGATATAGCTAAAAAATGTATCAACGATATAATGTTTCATATCGTTCGGTATCGATAATTATTGACATTTTTTATAACCTTTTTTTTAAAACAAAGAGCAATAGAAAAAAATGTTTACATTTAACCACTGTATTTATTGAGACAAACAACAAATATTTTTTTTGTTTGTTTTAACAGTCAAACACAAAATAAAAATTAAACAAATATCTAATTTCTAATGTTGTATGTGCAGAATAAATAGGTTAACAGGTGGGCGCAATGAGCAAAACATTAAATTAAATTGCATTAAATTGAATGCAAAAGCATTAAATTGCCAATGCAAATAACTGTCTATAAAAAAGTGCATTACGTCTAAATTAACTCATATAAATCAAACATAATTTCGTAAATTGCATAAACAATTATGAACAAAACAGCATCACGTATTTATGCATTGCTTAATCCAAAGAGCCGAATCGCCCATCACACAGATTGCCTTTAAAAACATACGAGACGCAGTGAAAAGGAATAAACCTCCACAAATTCTAAACGTTTAAACTGTTTTAACATTGCATGGCTTTCTATACATCTCTTGTGTGAGACGCGAGTGCAACAGTCATATTTGTCCATCTAAAAATGCTCTGAATATGCGTTCAGTTTTAACCTAATCAAGATCTTCTATGCATTGAGCTACTATATTTCTCTAATATTTTGAATGAATAACACAGCAGCGGCGCGTCTCGTGGGCTAGACTAACAAAAAATTAAACTACAACGTCACTTACATCACCATCACCGCATCTCGCGTGCCACTGATGACGCTCCCTGATGCACACCTAACATTCGATTGTAGCACTTTTGCTACACACAAATGTTTATTTTAAATTCGACGAATATTCATTTTTTTATTCTCAATCTCTTCATCACAGGCAGGCACAGCGCTCATGTTCGTGTTTGTGTGTGCAGTCACTCATATAGCACGTGCCTATATCGTGCGGTATATCGAACATTTTTTATATCGTTATCGAAGAAGGTGTACCGTCGATAAATATCGAAATATCGATATCGCACAGGCCTAGCTGGAAGAACCTCAGATACTTTCTCCTGAGATACAGACATCTGTTTTCACATCTCAACATCTCACAGTTTTATTTTAATATCGTTTTCAAATTTGCTATACAATTCAGTTGAGTTTTTATTAGTTTCATTAATATTGTTGTTAGTTTTAGTTTAGTTTTTATTTTGTGAACGCATTTTTATTTAGTTGTTATATAGTTTAGTTTCAGTTTTAGTTTCAGTTTTAATTAAAGTTTAGCAGAATTAACAGATCACTTCCAGAGAGCAGGCCAAAGAAAGACTTAGGCATAAAAGGCAATAAGGCATAATTTAGCCTTAGTGATGCAAATGTCTAGCGACACAAAAATTAACGCATACTGAGATTGATTAAATAGAAAAAGTATACAAATATACGCCAAAATGAATCAGGCAAGCCTTTTTACTAAATAAATCTATACAAGTTGTGCTTAATGTCATATCTAATTATGTGTACTGAGATATTTAATATGACAATAAATGTAGCCTAATTTGGTAATGACGGTTAGATGTCTTTTTTCTTTTTTAACAATCATAATATATTGTAACTGTCGTGTCTTGCTCACTTTTCCGTGAACAACTGCATGCACATAAATCATAACTGGGACTAATAAAATTCAATAATAACGGCAATCGCATTTAACAGTAGGCTAGAGCCCAGCCAACATTTGTGTGTGGGGCCCATGTGGGTTTGACATGGGCTGAAAAAGTGCGCCCAAAATGGGATTGTCCGCGGGTTCCATAATGGCCCAATGTCAATTGCCCACATGGATTTCATGTGGGATTGTACTTGACAACAGGTGGGCCCCAACTGGGCAACATGCGCAAGGCCCATCTTGGCCCCAGCTTTATTTTTTATGTGGGTACTACAAGGTTACTACATGGGCTAAAATATGGGTTGTAAGTGGGTTTGTCCACGGGTTCCATGTTGGCCCCGTGCAACATACCCATGTAGGTTTTATGCAGGATTTCCCTGGGCTTTAGGTGGGGCCCAACTGGGGATGATATGCAAAACCCATCTGGGTCCCATCTAAATATGGGTTGTAAGTGGGTTTGTCCACGGGTTCCATGTTGGCCCCGTGCAAC